TATATGGGCTTGGGGTATATATTCAATATATATATATATATATATATATATATATATATATATATATATATATATATATATATATATATATATATATATATATATATATATATATATATTCAACCTCTGCTCACACATATAGCTGTGCTAATCTCGAGTATTTGGGTTCATGTCTCATCGAAACAACAAGAGACTCAAAAGCTATCCAGAGGATTACAGGATTACAGCAGGGCACCAAAGGTGTTAATAAGTGAGACCACAACGGAGAGTTATACATTAACAGTTACATCTAAACTGCCTAAGTCATAATTGTAGTATCAGCTAGTTACAGACATTTTTCATTCCATTATCTTAGTCTTGTGGTTAGTCTTAGTCTTAGTCTTAGGGGAGCCGGTCGGCCGAGCGGACAGCACGCTGGACTTGTGATCCTGTGAGTTCGATCCCAGGCGCCGGCGAGAAACAATGGGCAGAGTTTCTTTCGCCCTATGCCCCTGTTACCTAGCAGTAAAATAGGTACCTGGGTGTTAGTCAGCTGTCACGGGCTGCTTCCTGGGGGTGGAGGCCTGGTCGAGGACCGGGCCGCGGGGACACTAAAGGCCCGAAATCATCTCAAGATAACCTCAAGATGGTCAGTTGGGCTTCAGTGGACACCCATGATCGAATTACTTTTGACACACTGTGGCAGGTCAAGCTGAAGCTTCGCTCAGGAAGACAAGAAATGACTCGGAAGAATGATCTATTCTTGCTCCAGGAGTCTTAAGAATGGAATGGAACTGTTGTTATAGATTCAGCTACTCAGAACAGGTTCCAAGTAGCACGGGCTATGGTGAGCCCGTAACTTACCTGGCACAGGAGCGGGGCAAGTAGCACGGGCTATGGTGAGCCCCCGTAGTGGACTTACCTGGCACAGGAGCGGTGCAAGTAGCACGGGCTATGGTGAGCCCGTAGTGGACTTACCTGGCACAGGAGCGGGGCAAGTAGCACGGGCTATGGTGAGCCCGTAGTGGACTTACCCGGCACAGGAGCGGGGCTGTAACTTCGACTTGTACATACACTGAGTGGCACATATTTGTATCGTTTAGGAAGTGGCCCCATGACCCATATCCTGGAGAGAGTGCCGGAGGGGAAGTGTTATATAAATCCGCTTCCATTACCCCCCTTCAAGGTCACTTTTAATTACACTTATGCAGGCGAGGAGTCACAATAACGTGGCTGAAGTAAGTTGACCAGACCACACACTAGAAGGTGAAGGGACGACGACGACGTTTCGGTCCGTCCTGGACCATTCTCAAGTCGATTGTAATTAAGTTTATTACACTTAATTACATGTAGGATAGAAAAATGTAGGTAAATAGGATATGTAGGATAGAAAAATATCACTATTCACCCATAGACTTATAGACCCCCACGGGATGGGTATAGGGTGCATAATAAAGAAATGAAATTGAAAAAAAAATGGGTTACAAACCTATGGAAACGCCTACCCACGAAGCTGTGAATGCCAAGACATTACTTCATTTCAAAACCATTTCGAAAGATTCCTAAGGGACAATCCTTCGGTGACCTTTAACAAGCCGATGGCTTCCTGTTCCCGTCGAGGCCACTGGAAAGATAGTGGCCTTCAGGTAAATTCAGACAAAAGGTAAATTTCTGAATAATTTTATGCATGCTGAAATCCTTTTATTCAGATATCCTTCCTGTGAAATGTGGAGTGGGGGGGGGGGATACCATGAAGGGTACATACAATCATCTATTGGAAGGATAGACACAATCACCTGTTGGAAATATACATACAATCCCCTACTTAAAAGATTCATACGATACAATCACCTGTTAGAAGGATACACGCCTGTTGCAATAGGATATATATATATCCCGTTAGGTCTACACGGAGGATGTTGATTTACGGTCGCATTCGGAACCAAGTTTGCCAACTTAACATGAGGTGTAGTGGTGTTCAACGTGGAGTTTTTCCCTTCTCTTGTCATTATAGATTACGGCCATCAACCAGGTATCACGCCGCCTCAAGACAGCTCACCAACGGGTGTCAAAATGTAACTTAACCCATCCTAAACTAAGCCCATGGAACTATGTAGCAACCTTCCTCAGCCTGCATGCTAAAAAACAAGTTGTATATACCACTTTCCGAGATCTGATGCCAGCTTTGACATTGCATATTGCATGTGATGTTGAACGAACTCCCCGGAATGGGTGTTGGAGGGGTAGCTTCTTCGTTGGGTATTCAGGCGACGAGTCACAATAATAATAATAATAATAATAATAATTTTTATTTAGGCAAAGGTACATACATAAAGAGATTTTACAAAGTTTGTTGGCTTTATAGATAGAGCTAGTACATACAATGCCTAAAGCCACTATTACGCAAAGCGTTTCGGGCAGAAAGCGTTTCGGGCGGTTTCTTATCTAACAGAAAGTCATTTTACTGTTCCAGAGGCATCCAAGTGAAACAAGACTTTGAATTAGGCATTCCACAGGAAGATATCCTCACTCCTACCCTGTTTACTGTATTAATCAATACGTTCCTGGACTCATGGTTCATACTACTGGGTATACCAACACCCAAGATTATTCTTGATTCCGTTCTAGACGCCTGTTATGATCTTGGTTTAGTTATCTCAGATGAGGAAACAAAGATCTTGAATCAGCGTCCACTCGGGCAGGGAGGAGCTGTTCGCAAAGTGCTGTTGTATGATGGCTCTCTAGTTGACTATGTAACCAGATTCAAATACCTTGGTGTTGAGGTGCCACTGTAGAGCCATGTGGCACCTCACCCAAGTTAGGTGTACCCAAGGTTATGGGTACCCAAGGTGTACCCATATGAACCTAATATGTATATGTATCATCGACTTGAGAATGGTCCAGGACGGACCGGAACGTCGTCGTCGTCCCTTCACCTTCTAGTGTGTGGTCTGGTCAACATACTTTAGCCACGTTATTGTGACTCATCGCCTGCATATGTACCCAAGTTAGACTTGGGTACATATGCTCGCACTTAAACGAGTATATGTATCCAAAGATGACATATTAAGTGTGACTGTCATCCTTAACTGGACGCAACTCTTGAAGACGTAACTGTAAAGTGAGTGTGTCTGAAGTAAGGAAGGTATAGAAATAGCAAAATAATCAGTGAGGGCGAATCAGAATCTGTTTCCTATAGATTTCATCCCATAACGGCCTTCGAATGTATGATTTAACTGATGACTTAGCCAAAGTATGTGATCTAAAAGATGGAGTTGATTACTATTTTTTTTTATATATACAAGAGTTGTTACATTCTTGTACAGCCACTAGTACGCGTAGCGTTTCGGGCAGGTCCCTAGCTGGAATACGATCCCCGCCGCGAAGAATCGTTGTTACAACCAAGTACCCATTTTACTGTTGCATTAAACAGAGGCTACAGTTAAGGATTGGCGCCCAGTAAATCCTCCCCGGCCAGGATACGAACCCATGACAAAGCGCTCGCTTTGAGCGCTTTCGCTCGACAAAGCGCTGTTACTACTGCCACCATTACTACATGTCTACATTTATATTGTAACTATTACAAATATTTCTGTTACATTTCATCAACACTGATATTATACTGGTAGCTCATCATACATGGGGGGTCGAGGCCCCCGTAGATAAGAGAATGATCTGTGTTCGTTCATGTTTGTAGACCGAACCCAACATTGCTTAACTTGACTGACTGAGCGACACAATTGTGAAACAGGTGTTAGAATATAAGCTAATAGAGATATCGCGGGTATTTCATATCACGATGTTAACCTTATGATAGCTGAACATCATATAATACTGATTTTACTGATTTTTAAGTCATACTTAAATTTACTTATGTCTGTGGTGAATTTAATCTTGAAAGCACCGTTTTCTGTTATGGGAAGGGAATATATATATATTATTTTCTCCTTGCTGAGGACCTAAGTCAACATATTAGAGGATATATACAGCTAATACTGCCAGTGTATTAGATGTATACACAAAAGTATTTTGTGTATACAATGTATACACAAAATATATGTATACAGATATGACAGCTTGTTCTCCTAAGACATTTCAATGGGAAGACAGTCGCAGCAGCTGTCTTGAACTTGTTTAAACCTGATATCTTGATTATATTCATACTCCAAGAAATGGTATTGCTTGTACGAATACTCGTTGTTGGTTTAGATTTAGCTACTTAGATCGAAGTGTCCATGTAGCACGGGCTATGGTGAGCCCGTAACACGAATATACTCTCTGTGGGTCTTGTATAGTGGTCTACATCCTTGGTTCACAAGCTATGGTCTCGTGTACAGTTCCCAGGCGGGACAAAAACGATTGGGCTGTCAGGAGGAATCTGGTGATAAATTAATCGGGACATTGTTATAAATTAATGTAACTCGAATGAGAGGAAAGTATGACATAGTTAAACTTAAATAAAACGCAGCAGATTTCAATCCGGTTTGGTCTCTATAATACCATTAATTTTGTTTGATAATATATTATATAATAATATATAAGTATGAATTAGAGTTCAAGTAATAATAATAATAATAATTTATTTAGGAAAATATATACTTAGTTGCAGAGTTATAGTACAAACATTCTGTTTGATTTAAAGATAGTGGTAGTACATACAATACCTAAAGCCACACACAACAGCCCCGCTCCTGTGCCAGGTAAGTCCACTACGGGCTCACCATAGCCCGTGCTACTTGGAACTTTTGTTCTGAGTAGCTGAATCTAAAACAACAACAACCTAAAGCCACTAGTACGCATAGCGTTTTGGCCAAATGTTTAAAAGTATGTTTATGTATGTATGTTTCGGGCAAAAGTATGCTTATTGAGACAAGAAAGAAATACATCTCAAAGGGAGAGAGAGTAGCTGTTTTCTAGCTGTTGAAGCTGAATTAGGCTATTTCTACCCCCCTAAGTATGAATATATTTCAAATTTGAGAGCGACATATAAATTAACAAAGATTTATTGATTTAAGAATTGTTTATTTTTTCATTTGTACTGAACTCGAAATAGTTGAAGCCGAAAGTGTCGGAAAATAAGCGACCGAACAGTGAAGGTAAACAAGGAGCTGCTGGACGCTAAACGTTTATCTAAACTTCACATATCACAAGGTAGCAATAGTTCCACCACAGTAGGTAAAAATAAAGAGGAAGAAAAGCTGCATAACGTTGATAAGGTAAGAATTCAATCATTCCATTTGGTAAAATAATGATTTGCCGATGTCTGAACGTCGGCTTGTTCGTCGAATGTTTCATAAACCTTAGGTTAAGGTAGCCTTGCTTTACTTAACACTCATTATATATAGCTTATCCCAATATCATTACTCCCAATATTATCTTAATCACTAGTTTACCCCCAATCCCACTTGTGGTGTCTGTGTTTGGGGCTCAACCACTTCAAATGTGTGTCTATGTATGTATTAACACGATGTACTGAACGGGGTGAGAATAGCTTGAGCTACCTCATCCCTTTGTGTGTATTTTACCTCAATAAACTTATTTCAATTTCAATTTCACTTCAAATTACCTCAAACACCCAGCAAAAATTATCAAAACCCACACAAATTTCAGCCATCAGACAGCATAATCTCTTTCACTTAGCACTTCCAGTTCCTCCTCTGGTTGGCATTTCAATTAATCTGAACCTTCCTTAAAAAATCAGCTGCTTCATGGTAAACAAAGATAGCCATCACCATTGCTGTTTGCCCATCAGTTTCAATGCTACTTTTAGATTTTTTTTTCACTTTTTTTATATTTGCTTAGCTGATTTTTTAGACACCACTAACATACTCCTAATTACATTGCTGTACTGTACTTTCACCTACGTCATTAGACGAGATATTTTGACCTCAAACCGGAGAGCGCTATTGATATATTTTTCACCTGGAATAGGTTTGAAAAAGTTTCATTAGGTTAAATAGACATTATATATATCTTATTTGCATACTCATGTTTTCTAATTGATTTAAAATTTTCAACAGTCAACATGCCATCAACCACAGATGATGTTCAGCGCCATTCCGTGCATACATTGGTGTTCCGATCCTTGAAACGAACTCATGATATGTTTCTTTGCGATCAAGGAGGTTTGCCTCCTATCGACGAGTCATTAGAAAAACTTCGAAGACTAGTAAAAGCACGTGATCAGTATGGCCCTGTGCTTAACTTGGTGAAGCAGAATAAGAGGAAGGCAGCCACACAAGCCATATACGACGGTGAACCTGACGATCCCCCACCCAGGCCGAGCAGTGTAACAAATGGTATAGTTTCAAGTCCCTTGGCCCTTCCACCACCATCTGGCCCTCAGGCTCCCCCTCCCCCAGCACCTTCACCACAAAGCATGGCTGTTGTGCCAATTTCTCCAATAACGGGTGCTAGTGCTGGCCAGCAGTCTCTCGTCCCTCGCCGTGCTCCTACATTACCAAGACCAAAATGGCACCCACCTTGGAAACTTGCCCGTGTCATATCTGGTCACCTTGGTTGGGTGAGGTGTGTTGCAGTTGAGCCAGCAAATGAATGGTTTGCCACTGGGTCAAATGACAGAGTGATTAAGATCTGGGACTTGGCATCAGGGCAGCTAAAGCTCTCGCTGACTGGTCATGTGTCAGCAGTGCGAGGATTGGCAGTGTCTCCACGACATCCTTACCTGTTTTCTTGTGGAGAAGATAAACAGGTTAAGTGCTGGGATCTTGAATATAACAAGGTAAAAATTTTATGCCATTTAGACAATATTAATTTGTACAAATATTAATGTTATACACATTAGTACTTAGGAACCATACCTACATTATATACACAATAATACTTAGTAAAAGTACATAACTACATTAAATACAACAGTACTGTATAGCACTTTGTAATAATACTTACATAAAATTCATAGTACTCTACTTTTGCCTATAGTACTTGAATAACATTTTCAGTCTCTTTGTAATTTTGAGATAAAACAAGAAGTAAAAGCCCTTCAGAGTTACAGATATTCTCAATGCTTTAATGAGTGGTAAATTATATTCCCAAATTGAAATGCTCTTTTAAATGTTTTTTCTTGCAAACAAAAAATTGCAAGGGTATGGTTTTTTATCTAAATTTACCTGACGGCCACTATCTCTAGTGGCCTAGACGAGGACAGGAAGCCAGTGACTTGTCAAAGGTCCCCCCATTTGTCCTGATGATTTTATTCAATTATTACACACAGAAATCACACTAACGTGATGTATCCAATGAACAAATCCACAAGGGCCGTGACGAGGATTCGAACCTGCGTCCGGGAGCATCCCAGACACTGTCGTAGCTCAGTCGATTAAGGCAGTGTCTGGGATGCTCCTGGACGCAGGTTTGAATCCTCGTCACAGCCCCTGTGGATTTGTTCATTGTTTATTCAATTATTGATTAAGATTTTGAAATTGAGCAGTGTTTTGGCATTTATGGTTTCAGCGGGTAAATGATTTCATGGGTTTAAAATCTTATGGGTGAAAAGGCATCTCCTATTTTCTGTTCAAAGTGGTAATGGTAAGAATAAAGAGTCTGGTGGACAGTAATAAGAAATATAGACCAGGGGCCAGATTCACGAAGCAGTTACGCAAGCACTTATGAACCTGTACATCTTTTCTCAATCTTTGGTGGCTTTGTTTACAATTATTAAACAGTTAATGAGCTCGGAAGCACCAGGAGGCTATTTATAACAATAACAACAGTTGATTGGCAAGTTTTCATGCTTGTAAACTGTTTATTAAAGGTAACCAAAGCCGTCAAAGATTGAGGAAAGATGTACACATTCGTAAATGCTTGCATAACTGCTTCGTGAATCTGGCCCCAGAAGAGCTACACATAATAAAGCACAACTTGCAGCACTTACTTTTACCCCAGAAGTCTAAAAGTTTGATTTCTGTTCTCTTAGTTATACAGCTTTATTGTTTAACAGGTATATGGACATAAGGATATGAAATATATAACAAATTATACAGAATATATTTTTTTCAGGTCATAAGACATTATCATGGTCATCTTAGTGCTTGTTATGGGTTGGCCTTACATCCAACAATTGATGTCTTGGTTACATGCGGCCGAGATTCTACAGCCCGTGTGTGGGACCTTCGTACCAAAGCAAATATTCACACACTCACTGGCCATACAAACACTATTGCATCTGTTGTCTGTCAGGCAGCAGAACCTCAGGTTTGTGTAATAGATCAAATGAATATTAAAATTATTTCTAAACATTTCCTTGAATATCTTATTTGAAGAAGTTTGTTATACCTTTGTATTCTACTATACATAAGTGATTTGCTCCTAGCTTTATAGTATTACCAGTTGTTTGCTAATTTTTCAAAGTTCAGAGTAAAATTTTTTTGTAGACTTATTGAATTTATTTTGTGTGTAAACTGATTTTTATGGCTTACCTTACCTTGAGGTTATCTTGAGGTGTTTTCGGAACTTAGCGTCCCCGCGGCCTGGTTGTCGACCAGGCCTCCTCGTTGCTGGACTGGTCAACCAGGTTGTTTCATGCGGCTGCTTGCAGCCTGACGTATGAATCACAACCTGGTTGATCAGGTATCCTTTGGAAGTGCTTATCGAGTTATCTCTTGAACACTGTGAGGGGTCGGCCAGTTATACCCCTTATGTGTAGTGGAAGCGTGTTGAACAGTCTCGGGCCTCTGGTAGTCTTAGGGTAGTCTTTATTTCTGGATGGCATGGACTAAGTCAAATATGGTTATAGCTGCTTACCACCTCATTTATATAGATTAGGTGTCCTTTTAAACAAATGTTTAAATTTTAATTTGGATTTGCAATGACATTTTTAATTGTTTTTCTAGTCTGAAAGCCACAGTGTATGCTTTCAGGTGAGCTCCCACAACCATGTGGTACACAACAAAATTACATGTGGCAAGATGGATATTGTAGGTGGCTGGCAGATGGATACATCTACATTCATTAAAGGTTCTGAGGCTTACATTCCCTATTAAAAAAAAAACTTAATTTTCCTTGCTACTTGTATAACCATCATGGATGACAAAAAAAAACTAAAAAAAAGTAATATGAAAGCAAATGTTAAATTATGGTGTTAAATAGTAATCAAATATTCTAATAGGGGACTTAGCTGTGCTCAAGTGAAGAAACTGTACTTGCAAGAAGCTGGTGCTGTATACATTATGCCCATAAAGAAAATCAGTGAAAGAGTGCACATAGTAATCATACTAACATGACTGCATCAATGAGATTTTCTCATTGATGCAGTCACGTTAGTGTGATTACTTTCTGTGTATTGAAAGAGGATCACCAGAGGTAGAACATTCCTAGATTACAGAGCCAGAGTACATGGGGATATAGTGTAAAAATCCTGGTTTAGCTTCAGTACAAGCTGCAGGAAACCCTCGTGTGTTCAGTAGAACTCCAAGTTGCAATAACTTTACCATGTCATGGTCTAGTCGTAGGGGAACGCCCACCTCATAGGTTCAACCCCTCATCACGGATTTTCTCAGTGAAGAGTACTGCCTTGTGTATACTAAGCAGACTCCTATCGGGAAAAAATTCACCTGCCTTGCAAAAGGCTGCCCAGCACTGTACAGTGATGACTGAGAAATTTAAATTTTGGCTATTATAATGCAAAAAATCGCATTTGAATCTCAAAAGCCCCCAGAAATGAATATCCTTGTAAGACATTGCTGAGAATATGCCTTGAATATAGCAAGCTTTAACATTTAGTGGCCCCTGGAATGACCTTGAGGCAGATTCAGTTTGACAAGAAGATGAATCAGTTAATATATCCCAGCTTTAGACTGGGAACAAAGACTTGGCTACTTCAAACAAGTTTTCATGGATGTCAATGAATTCCTCCTGTTACAATGCAAGTAGTCTGCATGTAAAAATTTTCTTCCCATGTAACATACAGGAGCCATTTCCATGAAAAGTAGCTGCTTAGTTAGTTTAGAATGCAATTTGTTTTGGCAATGTGTATGGATTTGTTTTCTGTGTAGAAATTTGTTTTAAGTAGAGAAAAAGATGACACTCAATTGTGCTATGATGTTACTTACATATTCACATCATGTAATAAGAATTGGCCAAGATGAAAAGATGTGAAGTATGAACCAGTTAACACAAAGCTCGATAACAATGCAAGAGCTCGTGGGATGAGTTGTCCCTCAAGGGAGTTCAACTTTTTCTGAATAATTTTTTAGGTATATTTAGTGCATTGCTGCTGTAAAACTTATAACATTATCCATATCTCCACAGTGTCCTTTCATTAAATGATGCTGGCCATATTTATTTTGGCGGGTCCCTTATTTCATGACCTTCTTATAATTGTTTCTAATTTTCCTCTTCCCATTTTCTGTTATAATTCTGATTCTTGGGAACAGGAAGCCTGTTCTTAGGCTTGTCAATGTTCCCCTAGGCCAACTTCTGACAGTCTTCAGGTTGCATCATATATCGGTTGCTTAAAAAAAATTTTGTCCTGTGTGAGAAGTGAACCCGGAATCCCCCTGTTATGAGCTGAGGCTGTACATGACTACTTCAGGACTCGTATATATTTACTTAAGCAGTCGTCATTCTGTGTTTCACCATGCAAGTGGCACTTTACTTGTGTGCTAGGTAAACCAACATGCTGAAATCTTTACTAAATGTTCCAGGTTATGCTTTAAAGGAATTTAACTCTAGAAGACAATTTAAACGTTTGAAGGGGGGGGAGGGGGGATTCTTCTTGAGGCTGCCCCTTTATGTTTACTTAACAATATATTTATCTGTCCATTCTAACACACATTATTGCTAGACTTTCCATTCACCTAAGCTGTAGGAGACTTGAACCGTGGACCCCTCGCGATTGAGGCTGAAGCTCCATTGACCTTCATGTGAATGGAATGTTTATTTCCACAGAAGTGTGGATGACAATTTATTGCTAGACTTGCTTTGTACAGCTCATTTTTTCTAACAGGTGATCACTGGCTCTCATGATTTTACTATACGTTTGTGGGATTTGGCCGCTGGCAAGAGCCTATGCACGTTGACACATCACAAGAAGAGTGTCCGCTCCCTGGCTGTTCACCCGGAACTTTACATGTTTGCATCTGGAGCTCCAGACAATATTAAACAATGGAAATGCCCCGAAGGAAAGTTTGTTCAGGTAAGACCTTACCACATTGCTATAAATATGAAAAATAGTAGACTTCATGCATGAAAGGAGGAGAAAATAAGCCTTATGTTAATTAGGTGTTTTCAGAGTTTGTGGAGGTGTTCGAAGGTGGAAGAGTAGTAGCACCAAGTGGGAAAGGTGAACGATAGTACACAGAAGCAGTTATTTCATGTACAGTAACTTAATTAATATCTGTCACCCTCTGGCCCAATAGATCTGGAAAAATTGAGTAGGGGGGAACTATCAGGAGACAGTGTCAACCCATCACAATTATATACCACTTGGAAGGGATCAGGTATAAGGATTTGGGATGGGACAGGGAAAAATATTGGTGCTCAACCACTTGGACAGATAGCGATTGAATGCTATTGATAATCAACATCAAGTGAGGGCACTGCTCTACTGTCCAGCCCAGGTGGTTGAGCGCTAGCGAGATCTAGCTCTTTATGCCCTGCTTGGTGGCCTTACTGTACTTATGACTGCTTTATATGAACTTTGCAGAACTTGACTGGACACAATGCTATTGTTAACTGCCTGGCAATGAACCGTGAAGGTGTGCTCGTTTCTGGGGCAGACAACGGCACGCTCTACTTCTGGGACTGGCGGACAGGCTATAACTTCCAGAAACTTCAAGCACCAGTACAACCAGGTAAAAATATAGCTTACTGATTATGCTAGTTAGTTGTATGCTGTAGTGTATTGTATTGTACACCAGGATGCTGGTTATGTATGCCATACAGTAGCGTGTTGTGCACCATGGTGCTGGTTATCTATATTCTGTAGTATGTTGTGACTCTCATTATTGTTTGTTAGCTATGTGTAATAGTATGTTACTATGCACCATTATACTGGTTCTCTATATGCTCTAGAGCCCTTGCACTGACTATACATAAACCACCGTAAGCATTATGCTGTGGGTGCTGAGGATTACTTACAGCATCCAGTTTACAATATTAGTTCCAAATGAATTATATCAGTGGATCCAGTACTAATGATAATCCTTTCATATCCAAGCATGCAAAGAACTCTGTACACACTTTGAGTGTGGCTAATGGGCCCTTTACAAATGCTCAAAACTATGACTTAGTACGCTGGGTGGCGAGTGCGAGGTATCAACAGCACCACTGAAACTTTCACATTTTCACATGTAACAGGTCTTCATGAATGTATTTATTCTTATATGAAATCACTTGTTTGATCAAGATACAAAAATCAAGTTTACAGGAGAGTGCTGGTGTGGTATGCCAGGAGAGTGCTGGTGTGGTATGCCCTCGAAACATATTTATCTCCAATTGATCTGTATTTCATTTTGTAGCCCTAGATTTGTTCTTCAATTGACTTATACGTCATAGAATGCGAGCAGGATATGAGTGAAGAATTTATCATCGGTGGTCAAACCTATCTTCATCTGTGTGGTTCCATGTCTCTGGAGTTACATAGCTTTGTATGCTGAACATTTTATAATATTGACAATTTTGATTAAACATTTTTGATAATATATATAGAGGTAATATATGGGTGAAATAAAGGGTATATTCATCATAAAAATCTATATATTATAAGTAACAAATACAAATTCTTCAGTGTTATTAAAATCATATTTTGCAGACAATAAGTCACCCAACTTGGTAATGGTCCAGGATGGACCAAAATATGATCACTTCCTTTACTCTCAGATATGTGGGTTTGGTGGTTATCTTGAGGTTATCTTGAGGTTATCTTGAGATGATTTCGGGGCTTTTTAGTGTCCCCGCGGCCCGGTCCTCGACCAGGCCTCCACCCCCAGGAAGCAGCCTGTGACAGCTGGCTAACACCCAGGTACCTATTTACTGCTAGGTAACAGGGGCATAGGGTGAAAGAAACTCTGCCCATTGTTTCTCGCCGGCGCCTGGGATCGAACCCAGGACCACAGGATCACAAGTCCAGCATGCTGTCCGCTCGGCCGACCGGCTCCCATAAAGCTGGTGTCCCATGGTGTCGTACATATTTTAGCCAGGGAGGTAGTAAATGACACCTGCTGCTTTATCCATTAGTAAATAAATGCCAAGTCTTGTATGTGTTCTCGAACTTGTCGGGCAAAGTTGAAAAGGAAAAAGGGAAAATAAAAACAGTAAAGAAGATATGTTTTGAGGATTATACAATCATTTGTTATCATAAACAATTGTTTCATAAATATAACCAAATATTAGTTTTATGTATGCTTAACATTATTTTAACTACTTGCATCAACTGCTCTTAAGTATAGTTTGTTTGATATTGTGCTTCTTGTAATCAAGAAGCTTGAATAGGAGCATTTCATCTACAGTTGTCATCATTGATTTATGGACCACTAAGGCATGGGTGCCGTATGTGCCCTGGCATTCATTTGCAGGATAATAAGCAAAGCCTGAAGGCTATATGAGCATTGCACGTCTGCAGAAATGAACATCACTTTCGGCAAAGAAATCGGTTTAGTCAAGGCTTTACGTATAGTTTGATTATTGATGGTCAACTTACATCATCCAACATACACACAACTATATTCATGAGCATATTTAATGGACCTAACAAATAAAAGAAATGTCACTGGGATAACAGTGGAAGCTTACAAGATCGAACTAGACAAGTTTCTGCTGGTTACCATATCACCCTAGCTCTGATGGTTATGTAGGCCTGTGGACTATGAAAACAAACAGCTTCACAGACCAGACATTCACGAAGGGAAGGCTGACCACAGGCCAAGTTGTGGGCAAAGAAGAACTCTTGAAATAAACAATAAGTAATCGGCATTGCTTATTAGCCATACATTATGATTGTGTACAGAGTTCAGTGGATATTTCGATGTTAATTGTCATTGTCTATATTTCAATCAGTGATACAGCTCATCATTTTTGGCTTGGAGGACTTAACCCCCACAGCCAAAAATTTGTCGTCCAAGCATTTAATGCTGCATATTTTTGCCCTTAATTGTTTTTAAGACAACACAGCAATGATGGGTGTTTGTTTAATCACTAATAGAATATTTGTATTTTGAGCAAAAGAGGTGTTTATCTACACACACAATGAATTTTGGGATAATATCATTTTTGTTCACAGGTTCAATGGACAGTGAAGCAGGTGTGTTTGCTATGACATTTGATCAGAGCGGCTCACGACTAATTACCTGTGATGCTGACAAGACAATCAAGATATACAAGGAAGATGACTCTGCAGTAAGTGTTCTTAAATCTGCGTAATTCTCAATGCATCCCAAAGCACGGTTAGCTCTTGTATAATTTTAGTCAACGTGTTTCTTACATTTTAAAATCAAAATTAAAACTACACGAGGAGAGAGCTGCAGTTACACAGGGTTTGCATGACTGAGTTGTTGCTTAGGTGTCTTGGGGGCCAATAATTTTAGCATTCTCTGATCTATCTCTTAACTTCTCGCAGTTATCTTGTTTGTTCTAAGTTTAGGCCTCTTGTTTGCTCCTTTTGGCAATTATCCATTTCCCAGAGACATTGTTAACTCCAGCTTTAGTCTCTGCAACTTTCTCATTTTCATTGCAGCACAGATATATTTGCTCATGTGCTGCAACACTTCTTATGTGTTTGTGATTCATTTGACCTCTTGGGTCTTGCTTGTTAGTTCTGTGACTTTAAGTTTTTATGTAGCAATGGGCATGTCTTTGCCATTTTTTTTATTTGGTTGACTGGGTTAGCTTCAAGCATGCTGACTACACAAGTCTTGGAACCAGGTGCCATCTTGAGACTCGCTCGTGGAAAATCTAACTTCATCTCTCAAGCATTACATGAATGTAACCTTCACTTGGAATAGTAAAATTCTGCCTGATGCAGTTTTGTGGAGTTTTGTATGATGCATTTTGATACTGAAGGTCATCCCTGCTGCCTTTGGCACTCCATCTGTGGTGTTTTCACTCGGATATCTCTTATGTGTCGGTTCTGAATCACAGCCCTGCCCGAGTTTCAGTGTCATCGTGTTAGTGTATGACAGTGCTGTTGGTTACAGGTTTGTGCACAGACGTACTGCTCTGTACTATATTAATGTTAGAAATCTTAGTCCTTGGTTAATGTAAGGTTTATTCTTCCATCTCATTCTTCTTAAATGAGGATATAGAGCTTACGGTCAAATTGACCTGTGAGTCTAACCTTAATGACTGAAAAAGGGTTGCTTGTTCCCCCATGCTGTGTACCTCATCTTCTCCAAATGTTACGGCAAATTGTCTGGATTCATAGTTTTCCCTCTGCCTGGGATGTTAAAAATGGGTTTGTCTATTGGCCACACATGTGCCTGTGACTGGTGTGGTGTAGACCAAGAATATATTTTCTTCCTTTAAAGGGAATGCACCTTTCCTTTCTAATGGGGAGAGATGGGGGGCTTCTTCTTAGAGGCTTCTCGCAGTCTTTGGTTGGAATGCTACTCCTTGATCAGCTCCTTGACTGGCCCTTCAAACTCCCTGGTGGAGGATGCAGATCAGTCAGAGGTGGAGAATGAGATCTTGTTTTTCCCTTGACCTCTCGATGGTGTTGGCATATAGGCCTAATATTATTTTTCAGGTTTGGGTAGCTATTTTATCCTCCGTTTCAGAATGAATATGAAACCTCTGCATTTCTGCCTTGTGTTCAGTTCATGGTACCTTTGTAGTATTTCAATGCTCCAGTTTCTAACAAGTTTCCTGAATCCCATCTGTCGGGTTGCCAGGTTTGGTGTTCCTGTTGTGGGATGGAATCTGCTCTTGTTGGGCTTCATATTGTCAACATAAGATTATTTTATGGGCACTTAATGCAACACTGACCTGTACCATACTGGCATAACTACATTGTTGTCACATTGGTATGATGGCGCCTGTGTGTGTTACCGACCATAAAGGTTCTGGGCTTCCCAGGCGGCTCGTGGGCCTCTGAGCGATGTTTAAAATGTTTACACTCGTTTTACATTTTCTAAGTTATGTATCGGGATATAACAATAAATTTGGTATCCAAATGTTTACGGATACCGTAAACCGTACCGTTTACGGATACCGTTTACGGATACCGTTTACGGATACCGTACCGTACGGATATGAAATGTTTACACGAGTTGTATATAGAATAGATGCAAAAACTAAAAGTGTGTCCATGAAAGATTTAGGTCCTCTTCACCCATTCCTGGACGTCTACTTAGCATGCCAGGCAGGTCCCTCTCGGCAATGCTTAAAATGTTTACAGTCCTGTTATGTTTTCTGTTATTTGTTGGGTTATAACTAAAATTTGGTGTCAATATGGTTGCAAATTACTTCTCTACAGAATAGATGCAGCAACAAAAATGTATTTAAAATAGATTGTGGGACTGGATGAATATGTGAAAGTTTATGGACAGCAATCGTATGATATGTTTTAGCTTCATCAGAACGTTTACTGTTGGAGTACAGATGCGCATTTTAGCATCATCGAAACATGAAAGTAATGTCACTCTGTTCCTTGTTAAATGACCTGATTTCCAAGATGATTGTAAGTATTTTTTTCCTATTGCTCTTTTGAACCAAAGGTCCTTTTAAAAAATTCTAAATAGATAAATAGATACTGTATAGAGTTAGATATGTAATTATTGAGATATTGTATGCCACTAGCATGCATATCATTTTGCGCAGGTTTTTAATTCTACTTTTCCCCTGGAATAAGATCCGCAGAATCATTTAGCAACCAGCTACAGTACCTATTCACTGCTGGGTGAAGAGAGGCGTACAGTTAATGATTGGTGCCAAGTCAGTCATCCCGGGCCAGGATACGAACCCAGGCCAAATCACTCATAAAACGTAGGGCAAGTGTCCTACCACTGCACCATGAGCAGTCCCCATGGCGTAATTGTAAGACACTTGCCCCGCTCTTTGTGAGCAATTTGGTCTGGGTTCATATCCTGGCCGGGAAGGATTGACTTGGTGCCATTCCTTAACTTTATGCCTCTGTTCACCTAGCAGTGAATAGGTACCTGGTTGTTAAATGATTCGGCAGGTCATATTACAAGGAAAATTAGGATTATGGACCTGCTCGAAATGCTATATGTGCTGGTGACTTTACAAGAATGTAAGAACTTTTGTATATATAAATATAAAAATATACAGGGTATATACAATATCTCAATAATTACACATCTAACTACAGTATATCTGTATTCAGTATATCTAACTCTATATCTATTTATCTATCTAGGGTTTTTGAAAGGGACATTTGGTTCAGAAGAGCTTTAGGAAAGAAAAACTTGCAATCAAATCATCTTGCAAATCAGGTCACTCAACAAGAACAGAGTGACTTATTACTCTCGTGTGATAAATACACGTGTACAGTATGTATATGTGTGTGTATGTGTGTGTGTGTGTGTGTGTGTGTGTGTGTGTGTGTGTGTGTGTGTGTGTGTGTGTGTGTGTGTGTGTGTGTGTGTGTGTGTGTGTGTGTATATATATAATATATATATATATATATATATATATATATATATATATATATATATATAATATATATATATATATATATAAAAATACTGTATAGAAGTAAATATATGTAGTTCAGAAAATATAACAATGGACAGAAGAGATGGAAGATAATAGGATGTAGAAGGTGGTAGGAGGGGGAAGAGCAAAGAGGAGTGAGAGTGGCAGAAAATTAAATTTTTGTTGTGTTTTATATATTTGTTAATATTAGGCAGTATATGGATTTCAATTTGCTGGTTTAAGTAACCAGGGGCCAGATTCACAAAAGCACTTACGCAAACACCTACGAACCTGTACATCTTTTCTCAATCTTTGGCGGCTTTGTTTACAATTATTAAATAGTTAATGAGCTTCGAAGCACCAGGAGGCTGTTTATAACAACAACAACAGTTGATTGGCAAGTTTTCATGCTTGTGAACTGTTTAATAAATGTAACCAAAGCCGTCAAAGATTGAGGAAAGATGTACACGTTCATAAGTACTTGCATAACTGCTTTCGTGAATCTGGCCCCAGGCATTGAACACCTTTGTGTGATCTAGCTGGACTAGTTAAGCGTAATTTTAAGAATTACATGCTGCATTTTTTATGAAACATATGAGGCTGTCAGATGTATGGCTGCTTGTGTATCTATTTATATTTTATAATTTGTAATGATGTTAATACTTCTATTTTTTTTTTCTCAGACTGAAGAGACACACCCAGTCAACTGGAGACCAGAAATTTTGAAGAGGAGGAAGTACTAGGTTGTGTGACTTATCTTGGCGCTCTCTTTGTTTCTGCATCGTAGAAGTTAATGATTTAATAACCTTAATGGATTTTTAGGAAAACGTATTTTTGCTGTGTGCTTTTTGCTTCATATTCTCTTTTATCAAAAATAAATGATGACAAATTTGCTGTAGCTGGGCTTTCACTACAAGCCTATGAATTGAACTCTACACAGAAACTGTGACACCTAGCTGTTACACAATGTCCTTTAGTGCAATGGTGTATGTGCTCGGCTTACAACCAAGGATTGTAAGTTTGATTCCTTGGCAGGACAGACGATGAGGCATTTGGCCTGATGCCTCTTCACCAGCAGTAAATAGGTATTGGGGAGTTAGTAAACTTGTGGATGGCATGAACAAATCCACAAGGGCCGTGACGAGGATTCGAATAGCCTATGTATTTATGAAATTTGTTTGTACTCCACCAGTCCTCGACTTACACCAAAAACAGCTCGTGTTCAAATTTTGAGTTACGATCATAAATTTGATCGGAAAATTGATATCTAAAACTCGACTTACGATAGTGTTCTGGTTTGATTTGGTCGAACTTTAACGATATTCGTTGATACACTTATGTTCGAGGGTCGACCGAGCGCATGGTTCATGGTCGCGCTGGCCGACCTGCCTCGGTTTACTAGAGCCGCTCGCTTAGTGACGATCACGCTTATAAGAAATTCCATTTTTTTGGTGATTTTTGCTTTTTGAACATAAAACTGATTATTATATATCACGCCATGGGTCTCAAGAAAGTCAGTGGTAAGGTTCAACATATGAAAACACGTGTGAGGATGACCATAGAGGCAGCTGAGCAAATTTCTTCAGGGAAGGAGGAGGCAGTACAGAATGTCCCTTCCTCAACAATTAGGAAGTGGTGTAGACTGTGGAAAGAAATGCAAACTTTTGTTGAAACGACTCGCCTAGAGCAAGCTGCAGTAGGCTGTTGCCTTAACCTTTTCAATGACACTGTGATGCCTCACTACAGACAAATATTAAAACGAAGGGAAAAACAAGTGTCGCTAGACAAATTTTTAGTGAGACAAACTAGCAGTGAACCACAACCAGGTCCTAGTGGTATGCAGGCAAAACGTAGGAGAGAGAGTACCCCAGAGAAATCATCACTGCCTGATGTTATAATGGAAGGGGACTCCCCTTCCAAACAGTAACACCTCTCCTCCCCCCTTCATCACCATCTTCCATACACCATCAAGAGTCCTCCATAAAGGTAAGATAAACATATATACTGTATTGTAGTTAGAGAAAAAAAATTGTATTTAGTATAAAATATATTTTTAAGTTAATATTTTTGGGGGGTGTGGAACGGATTAATTCAATTCCCTTTATTTCTTATGGGAAAAATCACTTCGACTTTGATATTTCGAATTACGATACGTTTCTGGGAACGGATTACCATCGTAAATTGAGGCCCCACTGTATAAGTTCGGCTGGGTGATTTCTGGACTTTCTTTCATTTTCAAACACCCATTTGCCTACCAGACATACTTCTGAGTGATTTATGTGGTTTTTAATGTTATTTATACTTTATTAACATTACTGTTCTGTTTTTTTTATATCCAATGTAAAAATCTTGAGTGGTGTCGAAGCTTTGCTTCCATGTTGATTTTTTCCCATGCTTTTAGTGTTGCTCTTGTGGGGACAGGTCTAGTCCCATCTTGGTGTATGCACTCTCAGAATGGATAAGTCCTACTGATGCATTCTTCCCGCTCATGACTTTTACTACTTTGGCTTGGTTGGGGGCTGATGCACCTGTGTGTGTGTGTGCTTTTAGTACTTTATATTTCCCTGCAAAAGATGTAGGCTAGTCTTCATGCCTTTTCAGGTTATCGTGTGGCTTGTAATTCCATCTTTGTCCATCTCGTTTTATGTTTCACATAAAATCATTTCACTCTGGCTTCCTGGTTGCATTGGTTGCCTGGTTTTCCTTTGCCAGGTTTTTGGTTGCCTGTTTTGGAAAACTTGGTTTTACTGGTTTTCTTTGGTTACTGCTACTGTCTGTCCTTGTGCGTGCCTGCTTATGGCAACTGCTTATTTAGGTGCCAGTGGGTTCTGGACTAGTTGCCTCTGGCTCAGTTGAAGCTTTTTCTGTAGTTGTTGGTACCGGAACTATATTACAGATCTTTATTGTCTTGGATTTTGTTTTTGTTGTTTGTGTACTCAGGGTTCCTTAAATGTTTTTTTTTGGGGGGGGTGGGGTTTCTGGGTTATGTTCCAGTTTCTCCTGGTAGGTTCCTTGGGTTTCCGAACATGTGCGACTCTGTTCTATGCTTTGGCTTCTGGTTTGGATGCCTTACTTCTATGGGGTGGTTACTTTAAGTCTTGGGTTTGCCTAGATTTCCAGAAAGTGCTTTCCCTATCAACATTTGTTTTCCCTGTTACTCACGGCATAGGTTTTTGGAATGCTTAAGCCTGGTTTCGCCTGAGATTGCCATTTTCTTCAGATTTGGTGCTCTTATTTCTTCTGGTTGGTTTCCTCTGGTTCCCTGGATACCTAAATGTTCCAGCATTTTTACTTTTCAGGGCATACTCAGTGGGCACTGCATACTCCCCTGATTTTGTATCATCTTCTGTAAATCTTTTCTTTTTAAGCAAGGTTCTGTCAATGACTCCATTTTGCCATATTGGACTATACAAGGACACTGCTAGTTAGCAAGGTTGTGACCAACTTTATGCCTAACAAAACAGTGCCTTTTCAAATTTTCTTGTTGCACAAAATAGCAGTGGAGGAGCTCAATGGAAAGCATACTGTATTGTATCTCAATCGTCTATCAAGGATAAAACATCCACTATTACACATGAATGCTCAACTGGTGCGGGGCCCTGATTTTACAACATTTTCACTTTGTAACCCAAGGCACAGTTAAATTACAAATACATGTACATACAATAATAAAAAAAATCTGTTGCTGGAGCCTCCAGTTTCTGGACCCTTTCTTACCTGGAGCTGTTGGATGCTATCGTGACTGTATGATTCTCTTGTCTATGTACACAGTGGATTGTATGCTTTGGTAGTGCAGCAGATTGATCTGCTCACGAAGGTGCTTTTTCATAACCTCAAAGCCTGAATTTTTAGAATGTAAGGAAAGATTCGTGATTAAAGTGATTAGTTGAAGAGTAACGCATAGCAGCTGTTAGAACATATGCTGCTTTCTTGTGTAACAAACGTGGTATTGTATTTAATTTTGATGACGGTACATGTATAGTATATACTTGATTTTTAAGCAAGTGCATTATAGTGATGATTTATTTTTACTAGTAGGAGATACTGTACAGGGAGATTGAATAGTTAGTGGAGAGTTATCATGGGTGGTGCCGTAGTTTGAGAGGTTTGTTGATTTTTTTTATTTAATGATTTGTTAAATTTTTGCATTTTAGAAAGTTGTTCAAATAATGTGTTTTTAAAGTTTACCTCTTGAAGTAGTAGTTATCATAGGTTTGTGTATCTGTGTATTATATCTTATTAAGTAAAAAAAAATAAAAACTTTTAGTTCTCAATAGAGCACAACCGTTCAGGTATTTTGGTTAAATTTTAATGTATGAAAGTCATTAATTCCTATATCCCTCTCTCATTTTTAGTGTAGAAGTGTAAATAACAAGTGAATTAAAAACAATTGAGTCTTAGAAAACATCATCAAGAGATTAAATGTAATGAATTTTTGAGCCTGTGTTAAAATCTTAACCAAATGCAAAAAGAATTCTCTGTGCCATTATTATAACTAGCAATGTAAGTACAGATATATGCAGAGAATGTCACAATAACGTGGCTGAAAACAAATAATTCAACCCCCCGCATTAACGAAGTGAAATGAAAGCGACAATGTTTCGATCCATTGCAGACCCTTATTACGTCGTGCAGCTGTTCGATATTTAAGATGATAAATTGCCATTTGATAATTTACACAGATACATTGTATAGATTGTATATATATTTGTACAAGTTATTGAATATTAACTGGAGGTGTAGGCTAGCTGTATTGATCATTTATCAAAGTTAAGAAAGCATGTACTTATTTCCATCTATATTTCAAACAATGTGCAACATCTGGACACTCCCATTTTGGAGTGGCTGGCTATATTTTAAATTCTCCACAGGCATTAGAAGAGAGAGAAAGACACATTTAGAATCCTGTTCAGAATCCTGGGGAGCCGGTCGGCCGAGCGGACAGCACGCTGGACCTGTGATCCTGTGGTCCTGGGTTCGATCCCCGGCGCCGGCGAGAAACAATGGGCAGAGTTTCTTTCACCCTATGCCCCTGTTACCTAGCAGTAAAATAGGTACCTGGGTGTTAGTCAGCTGTCACGGGCTGCTTCCTGGGGGTGGAGGCCTGGTCTAGGACCGGGCCGCGGGGACACTAAAGCCCCGAAATCATCTCAAGATAACCTCATATTTTTCAAGGGGTGACCACATGTAGAATTCTCCCCAAATATTTAAGGGATTGACTTCATCTTGAATCCTTCCAAGACATGCAAAGGGGTTGCCACATGTAATGATTAGTTCAGTTAATTTATTATACACACAATACCCATCCTGTGGGCAGTAGTGGACCCTATACCCATCCTGTGGGCAGTAGTGGACCCTATACCCATCTTGTGGGCAGTAGTGGACCCTATACCCATCTTATGGGCAGTAGTGGCCCCCTATACCCATCCTGTGGGCAGTAGTGGCCCCTATACCCATCTTGTGGGTGCTAGTGTACATGGTTAGAGACAATGGGTTCAAAAACTGAACTCCCAAACTTTATGCATGCAGTTAGGCAAGTTAGTCTTAAGCTAGTTACAACATTTAATATTGTGTGTGTGTGTGTAATATAAATATAAATATATATATATATATATATATATATATATATATATATATATATATATATATATATATATATATATATATATATATGTCGTACCTAGTAGCCAGAACGCACATATATATATATATATATATATATATATATATATATATATATATATATATATATATATATATATATATATATATATATTCCCAGCCTATTATGCAAGGCCCGATTTGCCTAATAAGCCAAGTTTTCATGAATTAATTGTTTTTCGACTACCTAACCTACCTAACCTAACCTAACCTAACTTTTTCTGCTACCTAACCTAACCTAACCTATAAAGATAGGTTAGGTTAGGTTAGGTAGGGTTGGTTAGGTTCGGTCATATATCTACGTTAATTTTAACTCAAATAAAAAAAAATTGACCTCATACATAATGAAATGGGTAGCTTTATCATTTCATAAGAAAAACATTAGAGAAAATATATTATTTCAGGAAAACTTGGCTTATTAGGCAAATCGGGCCTTGCATTTTAGGCCGAATACGACGTTCTGGCTACTAGGTACGACATATATATATATATATATATATATATATATATATATTTATTTATATATATATATATATATATATATATATATATATATATATATATATATATATATATATATATATATATATATACAGTATATATAATATGTAATAAACAAGGGACTAGAGAATGACCAAACGTACAGTTTCTAAGCTAAGCAACTTTCATTTGTTGCGAGCTAGTTTCATAATTTGATTTGCTTACCATGCACACCACCCACCATTCAGTGGGCAGAGGTGGAAAAGTTACAATCATCTGCATTTACTACCTACAGTTAGCAAACAGGATATTTAGCTAAAAATTTCTGGCAGTAGATCATTTTGAATGAAATATTGACACATTTGTTATAAAGCTCGTGCAGTCCCCGTGGCGTGGTAAAGCACTCGTCCGGCGCTTCGCAAGTGCTTTGGCCTGGGTTCGTATCCTGGCTGGGGAGGATTTTGATTAACTGGGTGCCAATCCTTAACCTCTGTTCATTCAGCAGTGAATGGGTACCTGGTTAAATGATTTGGCGGGTCGTATTCCGGGAAAAATTAGGATTAAAGACTTGCCCGAAACTCTATGCGTGCTAGTGACTTTACAAGAATGTAAGAACTCTTGAATATATAAATAAATAAAAAGAGCCATCTCTAAATTTATGTATCTTTCTTCAGTCCATCACTTGGACCATCACATTAAGTTCAGAGACTTTCATGTGTTCTGTTCACTCTTAAAGTACAAAAAATATTGAAGAGCTTTAAATGGATATATTTCATTGGTAAAAGTAAACTAGTTGCAATAGGAATCAATGTGTAGAAAGCATAAACACTTACATGTGAGAAAATAGATGGGGAAAAAAAAAAAGAGAGAGAGAGAGAGAGTGATCAGTACAGTTTTGAGGGAAAATATGGAGATTGAAATTCAAAACAATAAACATGATGTTGACAAGGAGGTATGGAGGAGAGAGAATTGAATAGACCATTAAGTTGCACTGCAGCGTTAGAGAAGCTAAAGAAATGAATCGTCAATTTTGGAAAGGGGTACACCATTTGACTAATCATCGTAGTACTGCCTCCAGTGATGACAAACTGCTTGTTCTACCACCTTGAGTGAGGGATCAGTTGTACAGATAAATTTATTATATATGTGATTAGATACAGTTAGTTTTATAACTATAACATTAGCCTCAAAAACAGTGCTTGAGCGCTGGACATAAGGTTAAACAAATTATAAATAAGGTGAGAAATGGTTGAATAGGCAGAAATTTTTATTTAAATGCAAATGTAATAAACAGGTAGCTCTGAATGCTTGCGAAATGGATAAAAAGAAATTCACTGGGATGGGCGAGTTTTACCAAACGCACCAAAACAATAGTTTCAACATCTTGTAATGTTCGTCCAGACATCAAGTGTTCTTCAGAACAGTGTTGTTGTTTTTTTCCCTGGTAGCTGCAACCATTTGATGATGATAGAGGAAAGCACCACTCAGTGGTAAATCTAAATCTGTCAGGAATAATTTATGCAGTGGTAAGTAAATATAAATAAAATGTTCAAATGAAAGGGCACAAATTAGTGAGGAAATGACAAATCCCTGTTGGGAAAAATTGGGCAGAATTAAGTTGTTTTATTCTGTGACTAAAAGACGTAATTCCTTGGTGAGTTTGTATGTTTCTTGTATGGTATTTATGATTTTTCCATGCACTGAGAATTTGTTATAAATTAGCATTGAGTTACCTTATTTGGATCATATTTCTATTAGAAAATGCAAGCTCAAAAAGATATACTTTTTTTTGTTTTTTAATTTTTTTCTGCTATGTACATAAAATACTTGATTTTTTTTTTAATTTTTAATGAATTTTCATTGATGAATGGAGGAACACAACATTTTCTTCTTAGAAATGTAATACAAATGGAGAAAATCAAAATTTTCCCTAAATTATTGTTATTGGTATCATTTATGATGTCCTATATCTTGGAAACACTTAAGGCCTCGTACTGATATATTTGGACCATATCTTCTGTTAGAAAATTTAGACTCACAAATTTGTTCTACTTTAATTTTTTTTTTAATCACCAGGTTTTATTCCTTTAAGTGTTTCACTGAAAATATCAGAGCAGTTTCTTACAATGTATGTAAAAATAAATATTAATATTAAAATATTAGTTTCTAGCTGCACGTAGACCCAAGAGAATTGTCGAGACAAAATGAAAATACAGTACTGTACTGCAGGAAAAAAAAGGTCAAGTTATATTTTGAATTATACAGCGAACTTAATTAATGCATGAAACATGACTTTTTGACTTTTATTAAAGCAAAGACTGACATAAATACTTTTTTAGTTCTTTAATACATAATAAAGTTTAGTATTTTGGTAATCGAAATGAATGATCTAACTTATCCACAACCATTTCCACCTCAAACTTTGTTTCTGTTTTTTTGGTAATAATAGGTTGTGGTGTCAGTAAATGTCATTAATAAGATTAGTATTTTCTCTTGTTTTCTGGATATTAAGAATCTGTAGTTCAAGTTAATTTTATTAACAAGCATTACAAGTTGGAGAAAACATGTAGGTGTAAAGTAGTTAATAACAGTGACTGGCATGAATACTCTTACATTGCAGTTGAAAAATAAATAATAAAAGTATATACCAATTTTGTCACAGGTTTAATTCACTGCATTCATAATGTAATTATCATGTGCTGTAATTAGGCATTGTTTGTTGACGTATTACCACATTGACACATTAAGCAGGTTGAGTTTCCAAGTAGCCAATATTCAGCAAAAAAAGTTCTCCTTTTGATTATTGTTTCAAGAATTGCTCAGGATTTTTTTTTGTAACACAAACAAATTGGTTGCACTTGCTTCATGCTACATTAACTACATTATCTACACTCCAGAGAATGGCAGAATAATATACAGTAATGGACAGCTGTTGTCAAGCTTCATATCATGCAAAAGAAAAAAAAATGAATGCAGTGTCTGAAATTTCTTCCATGTTACTTCATGTTTTATCAGAATTTTTAAAAGCATCACATTCACTTAGAGCAGTAGATTTGATATTTAGGACGTGGCAGGATCGTGTGCACTGGAATATGGTGGATCCGGTGGAGACATGGGAGTTAGAAGGGGGGGAGGTGGCACTATATGGCCGTGAGTGGGTGGTGTAAGAGGATAATAGGGTCCTAGGATTGGAGGGATTGGCGGGAGAGCTGGGTAGAGGTGTGGCGGAAGGAGTCCTTGACGTTGAGCCAGCCGCATCCGCGCTGCCATTTGTTTCTTCCACTTTGTGCGTCTGTTTTGGAACCAAGTCTTGATTTGAGTTTCAGTCAGTGAAAGTGCTTGAGATAGCTCCAGTCTCTTGGAGACGCTGAGGTATTTATCTATCTGTTGAATAAAAAAAAAATATTTATTTATTTTTTTATTTTGGAGATATGTCAGTTTGATGAAAATGTTTTATGAAAGGTTGAGGAAAAATATAAAAATATGTACAATAAAATGATAGTAAATTGATTATAATTTTGTAATCAGCTGTCAATAAAAGTATCTTTATTCATTAACTGACCATACATTATTGAAAAAAATTTAGTTTGTTGAAAAGTAATCAACAAAAAATGGCTATCATTACATTATCAACTCCCTGTTATCCACTTAAAACACGGGAAAAGGTATCAGCCCAGATAAGAAATGATTCACAGCTTATTTAATAAATAGGCAGTCTTATTTCTCTCTGGCTGGAATTATAAACAGAAATGTGTAAAAACAAATGTTCAAAAAACATGAAAATCAGAGAAGGCATGGAAAGGTAATGTAAAAATTAAATCAAGTTTACAAATGACTGTTAGCTGAGCATATACATACTAGTGGTATTCCCACCCCCTTTTGTATGTTAATGCTTAAAGATGTATACATAAATATGCAGATGTGGCCACTTTTGGAGGCAACTGAATATGGTATAATCATAGTGTATAGTATAGGCTCAGTTTAAAGTTAAATTTAATATTGTACATTCAGTAATAATGATGAGTGTTGTACTTTATTTGTAGTGGGAGTACTTATATTGAGAGAAGAGTGGAAAATAACTAGCCTTGGGAGGTAAGTGGAAACCTATAATTTTCTATATTCAGGAACCTTGAGTTTGATTTGCATGAATTAAATTTCCAGAGCGCTTTCCAGGAACACATCACTTGTGCAAACTGAGAGTGCACTGCTTAGGAAACACGTCCCAGAATAGATATGGGTACAGACAAGTAAATACAACAAAGAAAATGGTGCATAAATGCAATGACAATTCTTACCTACCAAGTTAAAAGGAGGGTTAATGAAAACATGGACAAAATCAGCAAATCTCCCTGAAAAAGTAATGCCCCCAACTCACTCTTTCACATCTTCAACTGCACTAGGTCTGCACTCTACAAAACTACTCTTTCCCCATCCCTACCATTTTCTGTGGCCCAGTTCATCTTCTGTGAATGCTCTTTCTTTAGCCTATTTCACCCCTTTCCCACTCCTACAACATACACAATAAGCCCCCCTCCTTCCATACTAATGCCCATTCACACATCACCCCAGCAACCACTATCCCAACAACCACCACCCCAACACACACACCAGAGAAAATAGCTCAAACTATCATCCCTCAACAGCAGTCCTCACTAACATAACAACAATTCCCTGAAGGCATCATATCAAAAGACAAAAACAAGTCTAATCTTGGCAACATTCCCTTCACACTACCACTCCTACTTCACTAACTGTGATTTATAACTATTAAGGGTTAGAGTACAAATTATTAGTGTCAGAAAACAGTAATCGTGGTTGTGAAGTGGCTGACAGAGCAGTGTGACATTGGTATGTACTTGTACTGTTAATATCATTAAAAAATATAGCAGCGCATAATATAATTTGCAAATAAAATGGAGAGCAGTGATGGAAAGAGATGTGACACATGAACGTTGAAGTCTAATGAGCATGTTGATTTAGATGATTCTGAAGCTGACTGTTACTCATGGATAGTTACACTCTTATTGGTGAGTGTTAAATATGGCCATTGAGGACATCAAAGCCAGTTCAAGGTGGCTGAGGAAATTTAACAGGTGACAAGATATAAGATATGACATGCAGTCACTAGATATGACATGACATGCAGTCACAAGATATGACATGCAGTCACAAGATAAGATATGACATGCAGTCACAAGATATGACATGACATGCAGCCACAAGATATGACATGCAGTCACAAGATATGACATGGCATACAGTCATAAGATATGACATGCAATCACGATATGACATCACATGCAGTCACAAGATATGACTGTATTTTGTTGTTTTGTATTATCATAACAAAAAGGAAAGTGAACATAATAATTTTTCGTATTTTTTCTACATTATTGTTTTAAGACTCGCTCTTTTATAAATTATTTGAGTGTAAATATACTACTGTATTAAACATACATATATCACTTGTTATAAACATACTGCCCGAAACGCTTTGCGTAATGTAATAGTGGCTTTAGGCATTGTATATACTAGCTCTGTCTATAAGAAAATTCTAGCAAAGGTTGTGATACATAGCCAAAAACGAGCAAATTGTATTCTCAGTGCAATAAGCACAACTATGGTAACTATTTAATTATAATTACAGTAAGCAAATTAATCATTTAAAAAGGTGCGATTCCAACTTATAGAAAACAAGTGAAGCACTTTTCGAGAGAAAAGCTTCTATCGCCATTGTCACGTTTTAATTAAGTTTAACGTACAAAACTTAACTTTCTATTGAATTTCAATCATTAGTCAATTTCAATCAACTTAGGCCAGTGTATAGAAAACACAGCTTAGCTAAGGATGAAACAATTGTTATCTGAATGCCTCGCTTCAGTGCTTCGGAACACCGGGTTTCAGGTGGTTCGGATCAGCCCGACCCGTCACAACCTTCCACAGCTGACATTGGGCAGTTCAGTATACAATGGCTTCTGTGTCGCGCGGGTTCTGTGATCTTACAAGAGGCTAGAGGCTCTAATCCAGGCTCTTTAAGAAGTCTAGAGGAGGAAGCTCAGTTGGCAGGTAATGCAGAACTAAGTTTCATTTGATTTTATGATGTATATATCAAGGAATATCAACTTTGTTATGATACGAGGTAATTGGTTCCACAAATCAACAACCCTGTTACCGAACCAGTATTTACCCAGCCTATATAGCGCCTATAAGAACCAATTTGTCTTGTGATCACAGCCTAATGTATATTGTCATGGGAAAGTAGTTATCAAAAGCCGAGGATGAGATTAGACGGAAGATTTAATATATATTGTGACCAGATGATTGACTGGGGTCTGAGGCGGGATGTTTAATTCTAAACATTCAGGATTATTATGTTCGTGTACTCACTAACATTTTCACACTAATGGACACATTTAGACCGAGTGAGTTGAGGAGGATGGGAGAAAACAAATGTATATTAATTTGTGTTAGGCTCCATTACAATACATTGATGTATATATACAAAAAATAATACATTAACCAAGGACGCTTTTTTGGATCTGAATTCAAATAATATTCAAATATATAAAGAAAATGATAAAAAGGTTGCTCTAATAAGTTGACTGGATAACTTTAATTGCTAGGCTCCGGAGCTTGACATTCGGATAGAAATCAAGTTTATTAGTTAAGCTTGGAAACATAATTTTTTTGTGTGAAGGCGAGGGGAAAGACCCAATACAAGTGAAAATTTAATATTAAACCAAATTTTCGGATAAAAATCCTACATCTTTTGATACAGGTTCCATCTGAAGATTTGGTGTAATACTTAGAAATATATTGAGTTTTTCCTTCACCTTCATTCAAGCACTATGAAAGTTTAGTAACTTTCTTCATTGTCTTTTTGTGTTACGTAGTTGATTTGTCTTTATTATTTTAATGCAGTGACTAGTATATTGTTGTTTTGTTCTCTGTAGCCTTGATTATAAGTAATTAAACCTTTAGGAGGAAGGTGGTAAGTGTCGCAATTAACAGGAAGTCGAACAAGGTTGGTAATGACAGTCAGAGCTGCCAAGATGGAGAGATGAACGATTTCGTCATTGTGGAGCCCAAGGCGGCTCTAAATGCCATGCAGCCTCCTGAAGGTGCCATTGGGTGCTTTTCGGCACCTGCAGCACAGACGCAGGAGAGCACTACACCTGCACCACACACACACACACACACACACACACACACACACACACACACACACACACACACACACACACACACACACACACACACACACACAGTTGATTGTTCAGTTGAGAGGCGGGCCAAAAGAGCAGAACTCAACCCCCGCAAGCACAATTAGATGAATATACACACACACACACACACACAGTAGTTTCAAAGCATTATATGATAAAGAGTGCTGGGAAGACGGGACACCACGAGCGTAGCTCCCATCCTCTCACTACACTTGGGTAATTACACACACACACACACACACACACACACACACACACACACACACACACACACACACACACACACACACACCTGCAACATGTGACTCCCACCTTAAACTCGGCTTCAAGCCGCTCCAGTTGCTTGGCGCTGTACGCCTGCCGAGGCTTGCGATCAACCCCCGGCTTCCTGGACCTGCGACCCGTGGGCCGCGGAGCTGCAAGAGAGGGCAAGGGTCAGGTCATGGGTCAAAAGTGAGGCAAGGTGAGCTTCAAATTCAAGTAAGTTTATTAAGATAATAAAAATACAACTCAATGGGACTAGAGGATTCGGCTGAATCCCAGGTTGCATTGATTTTTAAGGTCATGACGTGGTGTACTGGTTTAAGGCGTGTGTTTGGGAATACCCAGAACATAGGTTCGAATCTTCCTCACGGCTCATAATTTTTTTCTAATTGATTCATCACGTTAATGTGATTTCATTGTGTATTATTATTATTATTTTAGATCAATTCTAGAATGTGCGGCTCCAGTGAGGAGTTTGAATCTAGTTAAACAAATTGAAATTTGAGAAAATTCAAAGGTATGCCACAGGACTAGAGTCCAAGAACTTAAAGGTACGAATTGTAAGGAAAGACTAATAGCTAGAATTATGCCACACATCACTGGAATGGGGGGAAAAATCAGGCGGAGGCATGATTACCACATACAAAATTATCTGAATAATTAAAATAATTAAACAGGCAAGGGCATATTATTTAAGAGGTATACAGACATGGGGACATAGTCCATCTGAGTTCCCAAATGAACCACAGAGACATTACAAATAATCCTCATCACACCTCCATACACTCACCATACCACCATACACCATCACCACCTTGCCTACCCCATACACCATCACCACCATGCTTTGACACAGTTATCATACCGTGACGTCATCACTTCACCATACCTTGACACCCTAGCCCTTCCTTGACAGCGTCACCATACCGTGACCCTTACCTCACCATACCGTGACACCGTCACCTCACCATACCTTGACACCCTCACCACACGTCACCATCGCCTCATTAACACAGGAACACACGCCTGAGACGTGATAAAGATCTGCTTTGTCACTCATTATCAAGCTCTGTTTAATTTTTCAGTCCCTCTGAGTACAGACTGCCTGTACTCGTGTATATTACTGTCCAGGTCTGTCACTGTTACTACTGTCTCTATTGCTTAGGTGGTTCTTCTCCGGCCCCGACCACGGCGGTCTCCGGGTTTGGAGTCCCTGTGCCTTCTTTTACCAACTTCGAAGTAAACTCCGGAGATGTAGCCCCCCAGGGGCAGTTCAATGCCTCAACCTCTTTCTGACAGTTCTTGCGACGGCGCTGGAACCAATCGTATTGGTGTTTGTCTTTCCATTGGAGACTTTCGGCGCCGTGGAGAACGGGAACCCTGCTGCCTAGGTAACAGCTTCTCCTCCATATCAACCTACCCTGGCTTTACGCCCTGGAGAGGCCACTCCGGACCAACAACCAGAGCGCAACTCCATAGTCTCCTGAGACTGATGGATGCCTACTACTTTCCCTTTTACTATTCCTGTTACTTCCAGCCACTGTCCGTGTCTCTGGTACTATCTACCATTTACTGTGTAACGTTAGTGTATTGGAAAATAATGGGAACCATTATTAGGGACGATCGGAAAATTTCTAGTAGACTATTTCGGATAATTAGAACAGGATTTTCAGTAAGGGAACCTCCATAACGAACAATAATTTCCAAAAGTACAATATATGAATACAAATTCCCGTAACTGGGTTAAAAACGTTGAGAAACTACCACATTAGAGCGACTGAGGGTGTAGTTGGTCATGGCGACTAAGGGTGTAGTTGGTCATGGCGACTGAGGGTGTAGTTGGTCATGGCGACTGAGGGTGTCAGTTATGTGTGTAAACCTTTTGACTGTATAGTTAATGTACGTATCGTGTGGGATCTTAGAACACCATCACTATCTCTCGCTTTCTCAATTTGGCCTACGCAAAGTGTCAAAAGCACGATTGATATCTTAGATATCTTAGTGCACATGGAGATCTAGATTCGTACTATCTTTGCTGGGAATACTTCCATTGTTACCGTTTTTTTTTTTATCTGGAAAAGGCTTTTGACACCACCTGGAGATACAAAAGTATATCCAAACTATCCAGTTGGTCTTCGTGGCAGTCTCCCATTATTCCTTTATAGCTTTCTCGTCATTCGTTTAAAGTTATACTTGGCACCATTTTCTCAGACTTTCAACAGTATGAAGGCGCTCTCCAGTGTTCTAAACACTCATTTGTTTTCCTGGTTGCCGTAAAGTTTCTTCCCTCCTCCCTTCTCTCTCTGGCATTTTCTCAGCCCTTTATGTTGACGATCTCGCTCTCTGGTGTCGTGGTGGTGACTCCGCTCTCCTCCAACCTCAGCTCCAACTTGCGATTGATAACGTGTCGTGCGCGAGTGCAAGTTCTCTATAAATAAGTAATGGGCTATGACTTTAATTCGGAGGTATGTCATTCCTCGTCCCTCATTGTCACTCTATAGTAGTTATCATTTGTATAAAGATACTGCTGAACTTTTGGGGTTGATATTTGACACCTGTTTGCCTTTGTTAACCTCATATCTCTCCCGAGTTGAATGCTCTAAGGGCTCCTTATCTTGCTTAGTTTTGTTCCATACTTCCTGGGGAGCTGATAGGTGCACTCTCTTCTACCTGCACTCCTCTCTCGTGCTGTCTAAACTGGATTATGGCTGCCCCGGGTCTTCTTCGACCCTTCATCGTCTTGATGCTCTGTACCATAGTGGGTCACACCTCTGCTCTGGTGCCTCCTGGTCGTCCCATACCCTGAGCCTGTTTGATGAAACCGGAGTCTTGTCTCTACTGGATCGTCGTGGTCGTTACTGTCTTCGCTACCTTGCGCGGTCCCTGCAATATTCTCACTTCTGCCGTGCTTTGACTTATTCCTCAGGAGGGGCCCGTTCCCCTCTTGCCTCTTTCCTTTTCATGTAAGGATGTCTCACTCACAAGATTCCTTCTCGGTTCACGTCTGTAATATCTTCGTGTGTTCCATCCTTGTCCCCATGGAGGGTCCCACTTGTACAGTTTTGCAAAGCCTTGACCCACATGATGAGGACTTATATACCCCCCCCCCTCCTACGGTTGTATAACGCCTTTTCCTTGAACACTTTTGATCTTCACACTCCATAGCACGATTCGCAGATGAACCTAAGTCAGCCGACGGTTTGGTTATTCTTAACCCTTTGCATCCTGTGGTGGTCAAAATCTAATATTTGTTGTTTCTTATGTCAAGCACATTTAAGGCAGCTGAGTTTTCCTGGGTTACCATCCAGTTGTATTACTATAAATGATCGTCCGTAAACTGCCGCTAACGAGACCATTCGCACTTGTCCTATTTTCTCAAAATGGTATTCCTTATTCAGATTTCTACCTAGTCATTTAATCTTCAATCTGCGACCATTGTTCTGGCATTACCAGACCAATGGTCTGGTAACGTCAGACAATTAATTGTTCGCAGGTAACAAACTGCGCACTCTTAAAGGTAGTCTGTTCTCTTGGCCTGTCTCCGACCACCGTAATTGATGGTGGGAAACGGCTCTGGCTAGGTTACACCCTGTTGACAATGCTCGCTTAATTCACGCCGCCCTGCTCCTTATCTCTCTCTCTCTCTCTCTCTCTCTCTCTCTCTCTCTCTCTCTCTCTCTCTCTCTCTCTCTCTCTCTCTCTCTCTCTCTCTCTCTCTCTCGTTTCTAACCTCTATCATTATTTTATGTTTATGTATTTGTACTTGGTTATAAAAGTATTTGTATTTGTGTGTTCGTTTAGTATAATATTACCTGTGTACAGGAAGACATGTGTGTTTATCACGCAGAATGTTCAGTAATATGTCAATTGTTTGTGATGTGTGGTGTAAATATGAGGGAACACGGTGTATTGAACGGGGTGAGAATAGCTTGTGCTGCCTTATCCCCTTGTGTATATTTATATCTCAATAAACTTATTTAAATTTCTCTCTCTCTCTCTCTCTCTCTCTCTCTCTCTCTCTCTCTCTCTCTCTCTCTCTCTCTCTCTCTCTCTCTCTCTCCCTCTCCCTCTCCCTCCCCCCCCCGCAGGCATGCGCGCGCACACACACACACACACGTATTTGTGTGTGGGTTCGCAGGGTTCAGTCCTTGGACCTATACTGTTTCTGATATATGTAAATGATCTCCAAGAGGGTGTAAAATCGTTATTCTCAATGTTCGCTGATGATGCAAAAATTATGAGGAGGATTAAGACAGAGGATGATGGTAGGAGGCTACAAGATGACCTAGACAGACTGAATGAATGGTCCAACAAATGGCTACTAAAGGTCAACCCGAGTAAATGTAAGGTAATTAAGCTAGGCGGTGGAAACAGGATACAGAATTTGAGATGAAGTACTTAATGAAACGGACAGAGAGATCTAGGAGTTGATATCACACCAAACCTGTCTCCTGAAGCCCACATAAAAAGAATAACATCTGCGGCATACGCGAGGCTGGCTAACATCAGAACTGCCTTCAGAAACCTGTATGAGGAATCATTCATAACCTTGTATACCACATATGTAAAACCAATCCTGGAGTATGCGGCCCCAGCATGGAGCCCGTACCTTGTCAAACACAAGACGAAGCTGGAAAAAGATCAGAGGTATACCACTAGACTAGTCCCAGAACTAAGAGGATTGAGTTAAGAGGATAGGCTGCGTGAAATGCCCCTCAAGACACTGGAAGACAGAAAAGTAAGGGGGAGACATGATCACTATCTACAAAATTTGAAGAGGAATTGACAGGGTTGAAAAGGATAAACTGTTTGACACAGGTGGTACGCGATCAAGGGGACACAGGTGGAAACAGAGTACCCAAATGAGCCACAGAGATTTTAAAAAACTTTTTCAGTGTCAGAGAAGTTAACAAGTGGAATGCATTAGGCAGTGATGTGGTGGAGGCTGACTCCATACACAGTTTCAAATGTAAATATGATAGAGCCCAGTAGGCTCAGGAATCTGTACACCAGTTGAGAGGCGGGACCAAAGAGCCAAAGCTCAACCCCCGCAAACACAACTAGGTGAGTACACACACACACACACACACACACACACACACACACACACACACACACACACACACACACACAACACAGTGCTGGAGAGTAAGGCTACACATTTTATGACATCCGTTCGTTGACATTTTGAATTTGTGATCCGGTGATGCATACAACTCTGTCAACTCTCAACCCCATGTCAACCCCCTCGTCATCTCTCGTCCCCTCGTCAACCCCCTCATCAACTCTCCACCCCTCCATGTTAACCTGCTCCGCGGTGTCTACTCGAATGGTTGTAAGCCGCTAAACTCCCACATCAATTGGTATGCCACACATCAATTAACATAAGCAAATTAACTGGTAGGCAGCCCTGTAACGACCCACGCCAACGGGTATCCAATGCAATCCTCTATGTCACCATCCTGCACTCCTAAGTCGATGAAACTGTATCGTTACTAATTGGTCAATCGCGTAAATATATCATCAAATAACGGAATCTATCCGTTATAAAAGCATTTAAGTATTCAAGAACCGCTCTAAATACGTTTTCCATGCATCGGCTTCAATTGGTATGGGTTTGTATGTGGGTGGTTGGGCAAAATATTTGGTGTGGCTCAAATGTTACTTTACTATAATATTATTTGATTTAGACAATCATGTCATTCAAATGGGAACAATAAACACTATCAAAATATATTTTAGTTTAAATTTGAAATTCATGTTTTTTTTTAATTTTGTTTCATTTAAATTTGCACATATGATTGCGTTAATTTAAAAAAGCATTACGGTAAAATAACAATTTGGGCACTTATATATATATAGTTTGGTTAGGATGCAGTCTATTACGCTAGGCTTGATTGGGTTAGATTTTAGGCTGGTTTGCATTAGATTGGGTAAGTGTTGGATAGATTTGAACATAGGTCAGCGAACCGCTTTCTGTACGACGTGACTTGTACCTGGTTAAGTTTGGTAAAGTAGCTGTGGCTTGGTTTGATTGAGTCAAGGAGGCTCTCTACTGTTCATCACTGGACTGTCTTTCACAAGTTTTCACAGTTACCAAGTGTTTTCGCCATGTTTGCGGGTTGAATGAACTGGTTACGTTGTTAGGTTATAATTGTATTCACTATTTGTTACTTGCATTTAGTATTCGTGCCTGCGATTGTCTATATGTATTGACTCCCGACCTAATTTGCTCTTATCGTATCTACTACATACATTTCACACACACAGACATACATCTCTGGGATGCAGCCCGTAGTAGTTGCCTAACTCTCTGGTACCTATTTACTGCTCGGTCAACAAAGACATCAGGTGAAAGAAACTGTCCAATTGTTTCTGCCTTGATCGGGAATCGAACCCGGAGCCATTGTGACTACGACCACCGAGCGGTGTGTGTAACTAAGTGTAGTTACAGGATGAACGAGGCGTCCCGTCTTCACATTACAGTACTCTATCGTATAGCTGAAACTACTGACGGCTCTGAAACTACTGACGTAGTTTCAGCTATACGACAGTATTCTGTCGTATAGCTGAAACTACTTTGACGGCTACTTTTCACGGCTCACCTTCAGAAAATCTGATACACCGTGAAATCCCAATAGCATGATATATGTACGAGAACATTTTTGAAGTCGTGGGTCACCTCCGAACGCGAGCTTATTACCCACGGACTACGATATGCTTTTTAAACACAATTAACAATTTTCCAGCAAGTATCAAGCACCTTTGGCCCGTATGGGGATCGAACCCACGACATCCGGGTTTATTAGCACGGCGCTCTAAACAACTAAGCTAACAGGCCGTAGCCAAAACGGATTTTTTTTCTTCTGGCGTCTCTGTAACATATTTGTATGTAGTTCCAGCTATGACCTCCCCTCGTTCTGCTGTTCCTAGCTTTGAACAATGCTCTATATATAATACGCCGGCTTCCTGTCCCCTGATATAATTATTCCAGTAGTACAAAACAAGAACCTGGGTATAGGAGAGTATTTTGTACATGCAACCAACCAACCAACAGTTGTTTTGAGTATTATCATTTGTGGAGAATAGATTTGTGTATGTGGTGTAGGAGCCATGCTGACGAGGCTTCTGAGGTGTATGAGGCTATTTCTGTATGGCTGTATGAGGCTGTATGCGTCTGAGTGGACCGCGGGCCCACCTGGTGATGGTGACAGCATCAACGTTGATGGTGGTGACAGTGATGGTGATAGCGATGGTGATGGCAGTGGTAGAAATGAAGGTGCTAGTATCAACGATACTAGTGGCAGTGATAGAGATGATGGTGCCGATAATTATCAATGGTGGCGGTATGTGATGATGATATCAATGATAGTGATGGTGAAAAGAGGTTATTGACTATGGTGACAAAGGTGATTTTTTTTTATTATACCTACCATTTCATGAATGACCGGTGGTTACCACAACAGAGGTCTAGAAACCCTAAAAAAACAACTAGAGGTCTGTGGCTCGTGTTCTTCTGATCTGTCCTCTGCTCTAGTATAGTTACAAGACCACAATTTTAGAGGACACAGCTCACACCGCCGGGCTTATGGGCCCCGTGGCGACAAAGTGTCAACTATATAGTAATCTCACACTCTCTGTATAAGTATGTGGCCCTACTGTAGGGGTAGGAAGTTATATCCCACCCCCTCTCTCCCCTTTCTCTCCCTTCCCCCATCTCCCCCTCTCTCTATAATATTAAAGAGTTGAGGACACTCGGCATGGATTACGGGCTCACCATAGCCCGTGCTACATAGACATTTCGTTCTGAGTAGCTAAATCTAAAACAACAACTCGGCATGGTGAGGCGAAGCATGATAGGTTGTCAAGTTTTAGAACATTGTAGAGGGAGATGAGAACGAAAAAGCACGTGCCAGTAATAGTGGGGAGCTATTCATGAGGAAATACACAGATGGAAGAATACAACTGCCCGATACAGTTGATACAGTTTCAGTTTCTGCCCGAAACGATACAGTTTCATAGATACAAAGATACACTTTCAAAGATACAGTTTCATAGAAACAAAGATACACTTTCAAAGATACAGTTTCTGCCCGAAACGATACAGTTTCATAGATACAAAGATACACTTTCAAAGATACAGTTTCTGCCCGAAACGATACAGTTTCATAGATACAAAGATACACTTTCAAAGATACAGTTTCTGCCCGAAACGATACAGTTTCATAGATACAAAGATACACTTTCAAAGATACAGTTTCTGCCCGAAACGATACAGTTTCATAGAAACAAAGATACACTTTCAAAGATACAGTTTCTGCCCGAAACGATACAGTTTCATAGATACAAAGATACACTTTCAAAGATACAGTTTCTGCCCGAAACGATACAGTTTCATAGATACAAAGATACACTTTCAAAGATACAGTTTCTGCCCGAAACGATACAGTTTCATAGATACAAAGATACACTTTCAAAGATACAGTTTCTGCCCGAAACGATACAGTTTCATAGATACAAAGATACACTTTCAAAGATACAGTTTCTGCCCGAAACGATACAGTTTCATAGAAACAAAGATACACTTTCAAAGATACAGTTTCTGCCCGAAACGATACAGTTTCATAGATACAAAGATACACTTTCAAAGATACAGTTTCTGCCCGAAACGATACAGTTTCATAGAAACAAAGATACACTTTCAAAGATACAGTTTCTGCCCGAAACGATACAGTTTCATAGATACAAAGATACACTTTCAAAGATACAGTTTCTGCCCGAAACGATACAGTTTCATAGATACAAAGATACACTTTCAAAGATACAGTTTCTGCCCGAAACGATACAGTTTCATAGATACAAAGATACACTTTCAAAGATACAGTTTCTGCCCGAAACGCTTTGCGTAATAGTGGCTTTAGGCATTGTATGTACTAGCTCTATCTATAAATCCATCAACTTTGTATCTTACCTTGTATGTATGTACCTTACCTGAATAAAAAAATTATTATTTTATTTTATTTATTTACAATAAATTATTGAGGGAAGAGCTGGGGAGTATGGCAGATGACTGTTGGAAACAGGATATACGCAAGAGACGTGCGAGGAGACAATCATGTATGGTAGAAAATGATAAAAACTCAAGAGCCGGAGAGAGGAAGAGGATAAACAAGAACACAATAGACTGTATAAACAGAAAATAGTTACAATTTATAAATATAAAGAAGAAGTAGATAATATGGATACCTATTGGGACAACTGGTTGAATTAAGATACAAGAACTGAAAAAAACATGGGTAAATAATTACTTAAGACCCAAGCCCAAAAAGGCAGTAATTTTCGACTATTATCACGGGAGGCTAAAATCATAAAGGATGAACTATCAGGTCCAAAAGGAAATGTTCGGAGCAGGACGGTGGGATCGAACCTGGGTCCCCCCTGGACTCTGACTCTGGTCCAACAAGCATTTTCTCATTGATATATCACATTATTGCGATTTCCTCGTGTATGTAAAAGGTCTAAATCTTTGACATTGTAAACACATGCACTCAAAAGCGACAAAAATAAGGTAGGGGGAAGGGAATTGTCAGGGAAAAGCACCAATCCATTACGCCTATATAGCACTGGGAAGGGGTCAGGATAAGGATTTGGGATGGGACGGGGGCAAGGAATGGTGCCCAAACCACTTGTGGACGGTCTCGGGGGATTGAACTCTCGAAACATGAAAGAGCAGGCAAATAAGGGCAATTTCAACAGCGTACTAACAAGGCTTTCCCGAGACAGTGAAACCAAAGTTGGATGCTTGTGTAAAGAGAGATGAACAGACACATCCTTGGATTACTATGCCTATGTGAGGCTCAGAGGGCCACAGTGTCAACACAGACAAGGGTTTCTTTCACAATACAACCACTAAAACGCGAAGCGGCGGCATTACTCCTACCGAGACGCAAAGCGATTCTTAGTAACGTAGAACAAGGGACTACGGGCTCTCCATAGCCCGTGCTACTTGGAACTTTGTCTTCCAGGTAGTGAATCTTAATTAAACAACAAGCAGGGCAAGGTTAGCATGGAGCTGGGGCTTTCTACTCGTCAGATAGGCACTGGGGGGGGGGGGGACAAAAATGGTAACTAGAATTACAAATGAGTGTGATAACTGTGACTGCGGGAGGTAGACATATGAATCACGCTCGTGCTAGCCTATCAACATCGATGAATAGGAAGTGTCAAAAATGCGTCGCAGTTTTAACGGACTGGTCGATTGCGTAAACAAAAATTAGACTTATTAGGTTAGGCGTCGGAGGTGTGTGATTAGCCAGTTCGTTCGACACTCCGTAAAAAAATGCAACTGTTTACCTAACCAGAAATATACGAACTCATGTTACCCATCCCATCCCAACACACACTTTATACGTGTGGAGGCTGACTCCATACACAGCTTCAAGTGTAGATATGATAGAGCCCAATAGGCTCAGGAACCTGTACACCAGTTGAGAGGCGAGACCAAAGAGCCAGAGCTCAACCCTCGCAAACACAACTAGGTGAGTACACACACACACATTAATCCTAACACCTCCCCCCCCACTCCCCTAAGAAACACATCCACCCCCTCTAACACACACCCCCACCGACGCCTCCCCTCTCCCCCCACCACAGATTTACGGGTCTTACTAGGTGTTGGCCGTAGTGGAGTTGCTAATAAGTCTTTTATTGACTGGTGGTAAGCGGTCCATATGGGAAGTCAACAACCTGGATCACAGTGGGAGGAGTAATAACCCTCTCCCGCCCACTTAAACCCTCCCACGCCCACTTAAACCCCACCTATGGCGTATAAATCCCACCCCTTGACGTATAAATCGTGCCCACTCGAACTTGTGCATCGAGCACCGCTCCTGTGCCAGGTAAGTCCACTACGGGCTCACCATAGCCCGTTCTACGTAGAACTTGTTCCGAGTAGCTGAATCTATAACAACAACAACAACAACTTGTGCATTATATGCCAATCCCGCGGGCTACAGGTTACAGGCGTTACGTGACTGATTCAGAATTTGAAACCCCAATATTTGGTTCAGCTAAGCCAGATACAGGTCCTTGTATCCCTTCCAAAGTACTATATAGTCATACTGGCTTAGTCCTTTCTGCTCATAATTTCCTTGCCTTTAGGCCTAAGGAAAGGCTTTATAGCCTTTTCTTAGGCTACCATTTCCTAGTGCGACAAATTTTGGCCTTAGACTATACGTCAAAATGCAACGTTCTGTTAGGAGGATAGCTTGTATATACGTCACTCAATGTTACGTTGTAGATTCTTGCAATGAAGTTAATATTTTTTTTTTACATAGTTCCTGTGGCAGTGACAATCGAGGGTCTGAAATAAATATGCACATGCTGTTTCTTGCGTAATTAACCTCAGACAAAGGAATATAATTCGTTTGTTATTTTTAAAGATGTAGAGATCGACATGAGGCCAAACATGAGTTTGCGATGAATGCAAGGATGAACACCTATGATACATCTTGAACATTTCCTCCATTCGCAATTTATCATACCAAGGTCATTATTTCGCAAGCCTCATACGCGCAGACATGAGGATAACGTTTATAGGATAACTGGGTAGGATAAGTGGGTATTTATAGGATAACGTTTAAGAGGATAACTACTCATACGGGCTGACATGAAGATAACATCTATTAAATAATAATTAAATTAAATTAAGTACTGTACTAGTACTTAACAATAAAGTACTGACTAGTTTCCACAACAAAGAAACTGCATACTACCGTAGAGTAACAAGTTTTGTATGGAAATTGGAAATCAGAAAAGTCTAGTTCGCCAGCTAGAAAATCG